TTAATCGAGAGACTCTTCATCATGTCAATGAACTTTTTGAATTGATTCTCGCCATTTTTCTTGGCAAGCCTTTAAGGATATGGAGGGGGAGGCTTAGGCAATGGTGCCTTAGCCTTTTGCACTACTGGTTCCGGTATGTCGACAACGTGATCCCTAGATGGGTTCAATTCCTCTTGAGTCTCTTCCACATTGTCATCAATATCAATCCGCACTTCATCATTTGCTTGCACCACATTGTTCGGGGTCTCATCTTCTTGTACCACTTGCTCATCATCCACAAATTTCCTTTGACTAGAGGTGGGTGCATTCCCATTTTCTACTCCTTGTAGTAATGGCCATGGCATGTCCCATGTTGTTCCCACCCTTTAGTTTCACCACCGTTTCACTTGGTAGTGCCCCCTTAGGATGAGTATTTAGAGCTTGAGAGATTTTCCCCATTTGAACTTCCAAGTGATTGATAGATGTATTGCGGGAGGCAAGTTGGGCATCGGAGTCGGCATTCTTCTCCATCATTTGGTAAGAGAGTGGTTTTGCTCAATTTGGCTTTCTCAAGACCAAATAGGTATCTACCAAAGCGGTTGATATGAGCTCAAGTCGGGTTGTTGCTATCTCTAGGTTGAACCCTTTGGTTGGGTTAGTCAATTTCTCAATTGACTCAATTCCTTGTTAGCTAGGTTAACCTAGACTAGGTCCCTCTTTCTCAAGAAGAGACTAAGTCAAATATGCATGAATTAATGTTTGCAACCACTAATTTCACAAATAAACCATAAACCAAGCTAAATAACACACACCCGTTCATAAACACGCATAAACTTAATCACCCATAAGGTTTGAACACTAGGGTTGGGTCACAACCCTAGTAAAAGTCTAGCTACTCATGCTTGAAATTGAAAAAATAGAAGAAGAAATGCTAATTAAACTCATATTGCAAAATTAAAATGATAAAATCTATGTTAAACTATCCCCAAAATATGAAAAACTACTAAAAGAAGTAAGGAGAAACGGCTACTGTAGATGCCGATGTCAAAAGTTGACCTAAAAAAAGTGAAACTCTTCTATTTATACAGGGCTGGAAATTTCGGACAAAAATACCCTTTCGGAGGTTCTGCGGCCATACAATTTCATGTGCGGTCTGCACTTTTCTTTAGCTTGACAGGATTGGAAATCTACGGCTGCATAATTCTGGACTACGGCCACGCTGCACTCTTTCTACGGTCCGCAGATTTGTAACTGCGGTCGCATAGCTTCTTCTTCTGCGACCGCACAATAATTGTTCGGTCCGTACTTTTCGTGGTCTTGAAATGCAGACTCTCTGAACTTTTCTCTTGACCCAGCTTCTGCTCCACACTTTTCAACTTTTTCTGCTGGCCTTTCCTTCGCACTTTGTGGCCGCAGATGATAATCTGCGGTCCGCACTTCTAATCTTTTGTCCCCTTTTTGTCCTTGAGTTCAGATTACACCTTCTTGAGTTGGATTTCATCTCGGGAGTTGATCTTCCAATATTCCTGCAATTAAGCATAATTCATCAGTTTTCGGGAACATAATTAAACGCTTTTGGATTAAAACGAAAGCTAAAAGGCGCTAATAAGTAGTAAAAAGCCCCATTTATCAGATACGCGTCATCATTTAATTCGTTTATTGGACCCGTCATTGGACACTAATTACAAAAGGGATCTAAATTTTGAAGAATTAAAACTTGGATTCAAATTCCTTTAAAAATTGTAAATGGTCTTGGCCACAATATAACCCTACTTAATAAGCTTTTAAACACTATTTGAGTTACTATAAGTGGAAAAAAATAAAAAGAGTAGTTAAAAAATTGTTAAGGGCCTGTTTTGGAAAGCTATCCTGTAATTGGATTTGGGTGTAATTACACAGTTTTGACATGTTTGTCTGACCAAGTAATTTACTTGGTCAGCGAATTACTTGGTCAGCATGTAATTAGGTGTAATTGAAGCGGTATAATTATACTATGCAATTCTCAAGGGAGCTCAGAATTCCTGGTAATTACATGGTGTAATTACCATATTATTTTTTGAATCTCTTTTCTTTTCCTTTTAATTTACTTTTTATTTATATTTTTTCCTTTAATTATTTTTTTAACTTTTAAGATTCTTTTTTTAAAATATTAGTTATTTTACATTACTTATATTTTATTTCATTATTTCTCATTTTCCAAACCTTTATTTCATATGTTTCTACATAATTTCTCATAGTTTATTTCTTTCTTAATTATTTTTTATTATTTTATTACACTTAACTATGTTATAATTCTAATTTTTTTAAATAGATTATACCTCGTAATGTTAGAAAGAATAAGTCATCACAAACTTGACTTATAACAGTGATGTCATTAAGTTTGAGCTTTGTTATTAGATGGGGTTATATGCAAGCTTAACAATGTTAAAATGATAGATTACTTTTTAATATTCTGATTTTACAACCTTTATTTTTTGTGATTCTATATAGTCGCTCATATTTTTTTTATTTTTTTATTTTTTTCATTTAGCATGATTATGCTATTATTCTAGTTTTGAACTCCTCCTCCTCCTAGTATTAGAAATAATAAATTATTAATAAACTTAGCATATAATGAGTGATGTCATTTAAGTAGAATCTCATTGTTGAATAAGGGTATAGACTTATATTTTCCTTTTCTTTGAATTATATTTACTTAAATTATATTGAAACTTATTTTATGTTATGTTGTAATTTTACATAAGAGTATTATGTTAAATTTTTTTTTTAGATGTTGAATATATGTTATATTTCTGCTTCCATTCTATTTTCTTTAGTAGTATTCACTTAATAATTCATGCCATTCATTTTTCAGTTAGAATTGATAGATTATTTTTTTTGTCAAATATTTGAGTAATGCTATGGCATTATATTTATAAATATTAATCATCTTAATTAAGCATGCAGTCCATGATGTTCTTATAAAATATGTACTTTTAATTTTATAATTGATTAAAGTAAAATATTATTAATTTGAAAAATATATATCAATTATTTTTACATTATTAGTGACAATAATAAGATTAATAATTAATATATTTTCAAGAAACAATATCTATCTTAAATGTCAAATTTAATATTATTTATAAAGGCATATATTTGTTAAATATTAACTTTTAATTTTAAATAATTAACTTTATATTTAAAATTTAATTTAATTGTGTAATTATACTTGTGTAACCAAACAACAAACTTGTAATTACTATGACAAATAAACAAATAGTCATAATTACAATATTGTGTAATTACTAGTCTGTATAATTCCTACCTAGTAATTACGCCAATTCCAATTACTTGATTACTTTCCAAACGGACCATTATATGTTGCGCGTGTTTTGTTCTCGGTCGGTTTGGTCTAGAAGGTATAATAGTAAACAAAATAAATTGGAGTAAATTATTTATTCATGCATATATTGTATTTGGCACAAATTACATGCGCTATTTTTGTTAGGGAAAAAGGCCAAAATTATCCCTCTACTATTGAAAATTAGTCACGTTTATACTCGTTTCTACTTTCCGTCCAAATTCATACCCACCGTTAATATAGTATACAATTTTGTCCCTAGCCCTAACAGAAATCCACCGTAGCACCGGGACCCTTCTCTTAAACTGCCAAGTAGGCAAATATCAACCCAAATTTTAAAGACTCGTGCCCATTTTTTTACCCAATTATCCAACCACCTTCTGGGTCTTACCATTCTCTCTCTCAATCTCTGTCTCTCTACCAAAGTTGACTCTGGCAAACCAGACCCTCATCCCCCAACCTCGTTACTTCTTCTCTTCTTCAAATATGGTGAACTAGGTTTTGGCCAGAATATCGGATGGAGCTGCCCAAAAAAGTGGGGATGTACCAAAAAGACTCATATAAATAAATAGTTTCTCATTAGCCGGAGTTTTGGTCAGCGAATTTTTCCAGTGACCCCTTATTTTCTCTTATCTTCTATTAGTCATTCTGCTCATTTTTTAATTTTTTACAGGTTACTAGAAAATAAAAGAACGGAAAGGAGTACCATCTTCAAATGTCGACTATTTTGCAGATCGGCCTGCCATGATCCCCTTCCACCCCATTTTTTCTTTTCTCTCTTTTTTACTGTTTTAAATCTCAAAATCTTCTAGTATGCTCAAATTGGATGTAACTTATTCTCTTTCCTTATGCTCATTTTACCTATTTTCTCCTTTTTGGTTTCATAATCAAGCCCATTTAAGCGATAGATGTTCAAGCATGGTCAAGAACCATCAGCGAAGAAACTCATCGGAGTTTGGTCGGAAGAAGCTTCGTCGATTCTCCATTCGCTGTCTTATCAGCAGTGAAGAAACTCATCGGAGTTTGGTCGAAAATCCGATCTCACTAGTGGTTTAGATCTGTTGGGACCTTTGATCTGTTAGAATCCATTTATAAATTCATGACGACGATTTGAAATGGAGAAACCAGCACTATTGATATGGAAAAATCATCATTTTGTACCCTTTTGTTAGAGCTTGTTCGAAAGAAAATTGGATAATTGGGTCAAAAAATGGGCATGGGTCTTTAAAATTTGGGTTGATATTTGCCTACTTGGCAGTTTAAGAGAAGGGTCCCGGTGCCACAGTGGATTTCTGTTAGGGCTAGGGACAAAATTGTATACTATATTAACGGTGGGTATGATTTTGGACGGAAAATAGAAACGGGTATAAACGTGACTAATTTTCAATAGTAGAGAGACAATTTTGGTCTTTTTCCATTTTTTTTAACCCATCCCTTGAAGAAAGAATGATGTTTTCTATACATATGACATTTATTTTTTACTTTTAAGCTTTTTTTTTTTTTTTTTGTAATGACAACCTCTTATAATCATAAATTCTAAATATACTAAGAGTGCTTTTTTGGTTAAACTCCGCCCTAAACCATACATTATATAAAATAAAATAAAGAAAGTATAAATGATAATGATCTCTCTATCATTTAACTTTTAATTTGGATTCTTATTGACTAATATATCTTCCCTTGAAGAGCTTCTTTATTTTATTTTTTTTCTCCAAACAACCTTTCTTCCTCCTCAACGCCACCCACATGGTTCTTTCCATCTTCAAATCGTTCCTAAATCTTCCAAAACCCATCGCTACCATCTCTATATTATCACCTCATTCTTCTTGGCGTCCCCATTCAATCTCCTTTCCTACCACAAACCCAACATCAAGAATTGGCAACAAAATTCAACAATTTGGGTCATTATTTAATCTTCCCCTTCAAATTCAAGAATATGGGTCGGCTAAATACAGCACCAACAGTAGCAATGGAACTATTGATACGGGTGCTGGGGGTGGGAGAGAGTATTTGTTGATGTCAGATGAGGAGTTAATGAGGCAATGTGAAATGGACACTTTCAAGTCTTCAGGTCCAGGTGGACAACACCGCAACAAGCGTGAATCTGCTGTCCGTTTGAAGCATAACCCTACTGGGATTGTTGCTCAGGTCTTAGTTTTTTATGTTTTTGGTGAAATTTTCTATGACCCTTTTTTGGATTTTGAACTGAAATTTACTGTATTTGTGTACTGAGTTTAGTTTTTGTGCACGGAAGGTATGAAAAATATTGAATATTTAGAATAAATGGTAAGTAATCTCATTTAACAGGTTAAATTATACCGATGGTGTAAAAAGTTCATTTCACTGTCCGTGTATATAACTTAAATCCTTGTGTATTCGGGTTCATTTTCGGCTGTGGATGATAGAACTTAAATCATTGTGTATTTGGGTTCATTTTAGGCTGTGGAGGATAGATCCCAACACATGAATCGTGCCTCTGCTTTAACTCGTTTACGAGTGTTACTAGCTCTTAAAGGTATTTGTTCCATCACTTTGTTGTTTCCACTAATATCAAATTACAGATTTGTTTGATTATTTTAAACATTGCATTAACATGGTTTGAGGTTTTATATAACTGACCCCAACTTGTTTGGTACTGAGATGTTGTTGTTATATTTGAAGATTTCTCTATTAGAGTTACTTTTCAACATTTACTTTAATATGTGCTCCACAATCGCTGATTTGTTTGTTATATAAGTCAAACTAAAATCTTAAACTCTGTGCCATGTCAAATGCGTTCGTTGTGCAAAAAGTGAGTATGATTTTTTGGCTAATCAGCTGTGTACTATTTCCTTGTACCTCTAGTAACTTTGAGTTCTGTGATTAAGTGTTCTACGTGGAATTTTAAATGTATCAAGTGCTGAGCTTGGAGTGCACTGTTGAGTTAGCTGAGTTGTGCCGGGACAACTAGTTGTGACATCCAAATAAAAAACTGTTGTTGTACAAGTAGGATAGGAGCTAGAGCAGAGGCAGACCTACCTAATACACTGAACTAGAGAGGAGACTTAATGAGAGATCATGTATTTCTTTATCTTGGTGAAATGAGTCCACTTTCCTTGTCTTGAGGCAGACTTTCTCCTCGCACCACTAAACCATATTTCTGAAACTGGCTTGCTAAGGTGCAAATTTCCTCTTGTGATGATAGATCTACAGGGCTTTAGTTTCTTGGGTTCTATGTTGCCACAAAATAGAGCTGAAAGGCTTTAAAGATCCGCGGTGACTAGGAATACAGAGAAGCAATAGAAGAAAGAGACAGGTTTTCTAAATAGATGACACCCTTGAAAAGCTGTTGAAAATCAGGGTATTAATACAATGAAGTACACGAACTGTGTTATAGTTGAAACCACGCCTTATTTTATTGGAAATTTCTCAATTTATCTTGTGCCACCATTGAATCGGGCTACAGGCTTACTGTATATGTTTAAGCTCATAGGCATATTGTTGATCCTGCTCTACATCTAGTTGATCAAGAAATCTTCAGTTTTTATTATTTTCATCTAGTTAGGAACAGCATAGATCTTGATACATATACACCTCCTCAAGAGCTGCTTCAAATTCTTCCCGCTAAATCAACAATCAGGGGTTCGGATTGTGGCCCGCAGATTGGACCAAAGAATCCTAAGTTTGCTTTGGTATACAGTATACTTCTCTTCTTCATGTCTTTGGTAAAATTTAAATCTTATGCAAGATGTTTACTTTAGTGTGTTTCTTCTTTAATCCATAGGGAATGCAAGCTTTACTAGATCTAATTTTTGCTGTTGAGGGCTCGGTAGCAGATGCTGCTAAGAAGTTGGGGTATGTGTTTGTGAAATTTGCATCAATCTGTTGTTGATGTTTCGTGCGTGCACTTTTGTTAGTGGATCAAAAGAAATTAAAAATAATAAGTAGCTATTTTCTAGCAAAGTGACTCAAACTTGTTCCACTTAATAGTCTTACTATATCTTTCCACTGGGTCGGGAATTCCATATATCGTTGTTTAACAAGTCAGACTTCCTGCATAGATCCCTCCAATCTCGTACTGTAATGTGGGCAGTGGAGTACTTACTATACATTTGTTTTGCTGAACTTTCTGGCAGGTTGAGCACTGGGGCTTTATCAAGATTGTTATTATCTGATGATAATCTCAGGATGGCGGTGAACGAGTTCAGAATATCCAAGGTATGGATGCATGCCTTTAATAAATCTTTTAGCTCATAGGTATTGGAACTTGGTTTCTTATTTAATTAATTGTAAGTATATCATTATAATCTCCAGCTCGTGCTAAATGTCCACTATTATGTTCTTGTACACGATCAGTTTAAATCACCTGTAGAGATATAGACATCAGCCTAAAAGTGGAATTGTCAAGTAGGGCATGTATGTAAAGGGGAATCGAAATATCACTGCTGGTGTCTCCTCCATGAAACAGATCTCACTGCTCACAGTTTATCTTCGTGTTGGAGAGACACCTCACGGTCCTTTTGGGGGTTTGGTTTTCTGCCTGTAGAAGCTGAAAACTATGCTAAACTCTGGGGATTGTTATGATGACGAGTAATGGTTAGAGATGTTTAGGGTTGAATTGCATCAGAAAAGTGGTTTATTAGATTATTTAGGGTTTATTAGGTATCAGTCTTATGTCCTTAGGCATTATATCTAATGTTGGACTTTGTCATGCTTATGTCCTTGGACACTGCGTCATAACATTTGACTGTGTCTCATACTATCCGATCACTGCACAGTGGTCTTTGAAAACTCTGTAATTTCTAAACTTTAAGATTATTCTTTTTCTTCTTGGACAAGGTCGATATGTTTGGAGAAAGGTTTGAAACTGTTACCTCATATTCACAATAACTCCACAAACTAAGGCAACATAAGACACAAGTGCACCCAGCGTGGGATGCCTAAACTTCAAGAATGATAGTAACATTTATTTATACTTTATAGCATATTTTATATGCAATCTTATGAAAAAATTAAGACATTTGTATCTTCCCAAAAGTTTTCTGAGAGATGCAGACAGTAATATATTTTTTTTAAGGTCATATAACATATTGTGTTTTATCCTCTTTTTCTCTAAAAAGACAGAGATATGACCACTTACCACGCCGAAAAGGAGGGTTTAACTGTCAAATCTACTTTAAGCTACCAAACTAGAAAGGAGGAAATAAAGCTAAAATGGTAACATGCAAATCTAGTAACTTATATAAAATAATTTTTATAATGCTTCTAGTCTTCTACCACTTCATAAGTTTCCATTTCAGTATTTAGTGACCTGTTAAATCTAGCAAATCGAAGAATAGTACTATTTTTATACTTCCTAGTTTTCTACACTCTTGAAAGGAAGCCTTGGCGTAACTAGTAAAGTTGTTGCCATATGACCAGGAGGTCACAGGTTCAAGCCGTGGAAACAACATCTTGCAGAAATGTAGGGTAAGGTTGCGTATAATAGACCCTTATGGTCCGGCCCTTCCCCGGACCCCGCGCATAGTGGGAGCTTAGTGCACCGGGCTGCCCTTTAGTCTTCTACACTTGCCAAGTGCCCATTTCAATATTGAAATTGAATATTAATAAGCTTTTTGAGCTGAAAATGTTGTTGCCATGTAAATGTGCAGGATATGAAGCCTCTGAAATAGGACTCCTTCGTCGTCCGGTACTAGTTGCTTTTCATTTCCGTTTGAGATATAAAGCTTCAGGAGATAATGCTGGTCGCACGGTGGAGACATGATTGAATAAACAATGTCTGCTTAGTGATCATAATTTTTGTGGAAATGAAGTGCTTCTGGTGATTTTGATATGCTTGGCATCAGGTTTGCTGCTGTTGGCATCCGTGGCTGGAAAAGTGCAGCAAATTGTCATTGTAAATTCTTTTTTCTTCTAGTTTTCATTTTTTTGAATTTTAAAAATAAAAAACAAAAATGAGATTCGACGTCTTATTTTTTTGGATTTAATCCCCCCCCCCCCCACACCTCCACTTTCACAGTAATTATCTTAATCTAAAATCCCACCCCTCTGAAAAAACTGTAAAAATTGCACACGGGGCGCTTTATTTGATCGCCCTCATTTAACCTATACTCATTTTTTTTAAAAAGTTTTAACTTGTACCCACTTTTTAAACAACTTCAGCCCCCTTTCTCCTCCTCCTTCTCCTCCTTCGTTTTCTTCTTCTTCTTTCTTTCTTCTGCTGCTGTTGGTGCTGTTATGAAACTTCAATTCATGGGATGATTGCCATAAGTATGTTTATCAGATTATTTAAAAATAAATTACAAATAACTACGTAAGTTAGTAGACAATAATTTGTGAATATTTTCACGTACGGGAAGTTTAAGGTTACACTTAGTGATTCTTTTCATGATAATTTTGTTCTTTTCACGTTTATTTGTTTCCAAAATTTTATAATTTAGATACTGTTGGCAATCTGATTATTTTATAGTAGTCTGATTATAACAAAACTAATGAATCAAGGACAAAAAAACTCCAGCTTATTTAGTACTGAAGTTTTTACAAATGAACTAAATAACTTTAGCATCTTGTGCTAAAGTTTTTGAACAAGCTTTATGACAAAACTAATGAATCCAGGACAAAAAACTTCAGCTTATTTAGTGCTGAAGTTTTTACAAATGAACTAAATAACTTCAGCATCTTCTGCTGAAGTTTTTGAAAAAGGTTATCCAGGACAAAAAAACTTCAGCTTATTTAGTGCTGAAGTTTTTACAAATGAACTAAATAACTTCAGCATCTTCTGCTGAAGTTTTTGAAAAAGGTTATTCAGGACAAAAAAAACTTCAGCTTATTTAGTGCTAAAGTTTTAACAAATCAACTAAATAACTTCAGCATCTCCTGCTGAAGTTTTTGAAAAAGGTTATCCAAGACAAAAAAACTTCAGCTTATTTAGTGCTGAAGTTTTTATAAATGAACTAAATAACTTCAGCATCTTCTGCTGAAGTTTTTGAAAAGCTTAATGACAAAACTAATGAATCCAGGACAAAAAAAACTTCAGCTTATTTAGTGCAATTACAAACAAAAACTTCAGCAAATAGAGAACAAAACTTCAGCTACTATGCTTAAGTTCAACAATTACAAACAAAAACTTCAGCAAATAGAGAACAAAACTTCAGCTACTATGCTTAAGTTCAGCAATTACAAACAAAAACTTCAGCACACTTGCTACTTCAGGCCCGTCTACTAGAATGCTGAAGTTTTGCGTGATTGCCTTTGCTACTTCAGCCCCGTATGCTGAAGTTACGCAAAAAAGTGGGTACGCTTGCAATTTTTTTGCAAAGTGGGCACAAGTTAAAACGTGACACAAAAAGCGGGTATAGATGCAAATCCCTGAAAAAAATCCACAGAGAAGAAGAACCTCAAGGCTAAAACTGTATTGGGCTGTCGCGATTTTGAAGGTTTTAGGGTATGGTCATTTTCTTGTTGGGGATCACAGATTGTATAACTGGGTGTTGAGCTTCCTATAGCACAGATGGAGCACATTCATCAACAGATGTCATCATGGCATAGTGATCGAGGTAATGAGGTGGACATACAACATATGTATGTCAACTTTTTCAAGTTGTGCTAAACATATATTCACTTATCAAAATTTTATCTACAATTTTAATAAAGTAAGATTGAATAATATTCGTGTAATAAAAAAATCCGACAAAATCGAATCAATCCAAACCGTTATAGTTGGTTTGGTTTGATTTTGATAAAAAACGGAACCAACCTCGTCCATATACACCCCTAACTGCAAGTTGTCGTTGGCAACTCTATGGTCTGAAAAGTTCAAATACGGGATCCTCCTCCGGATATAACCATGCATTCAACCACCCAAAACTAGGCGGCCTCATGGGCGAGTTGGCCAATGTGGTCGCTTGACATATGTTAGGGCATTCTCCGAAAAATGTGCGTTACATTGCCTAGTCGATATACTTGGAGCTGTCTGTTATCTTTTCTATTTCAGAAATTCTCACATAAGTTATGTTTTGTAAGCTGAACATATTTACTAACATGGGGATGGTTGGGTTTCTTGGTGCTCCCTTGCATATATTTGGTAGTAACTGTTAGGACCGAAAAAGTCAGGTGTCATGCGGAAACTAGCAAAGCAAACCTTGAACGACGATAAATCATACAACAAAGAGAAATCTACCAAAAGAGACACAAACATTTAACGTGGTTCAGTCAACTGACCTACGTCCACAGCGGAGATGAGCAATCCACTATAATAAAAAGAGAGTACAAAATATCGAGAGAACAACCTCACGAAGAGGCAAACACAAGTGACACACTAACACTTGTCCCATAAAGTTCTCCCCCTAAACACGACTCTCAAATCCCATGTGGCTGTATTGTGGATGCTACTGAATGAGAAGGAAGGATCCTCAATTTATAGAAGTCCAAACCTTTTCCTACAAGAAAAGGGACTAGCCAAATATGGAAGAATTATATTTTCCTTTTAGGAAAAGAAAAACCCAATTATGGTAAATATGTTGTCCTTTCCTTCATGAGATAGGAAAACCAATTATGGTAAGAAAATCTGGACAAACACCTAACAGTAACAAGTTCTTCTTCTTAATGTATTTTTACTCACAAGGTAGGGGTAAGGTCCCATATACACTAGCCTCCCTCCCCAGACCTTACGATGTGGGATAATACTGGGTATGTTATTGTTTTTGTGTTGTTGTTGAGTCTCTGGCAATTGTATTAATAAAAGTCTTTGGTTTCAAAATTCTATAGTTGTGATTAGTGGTGGCAAATTGGATAAAAGAAAATAGGTATCCACTCGTACCATCCATTAAAAAATGGGTTGGATAAAAAAAATTTTAAAAATAAAACTACCCCTATCGTTTGCTAAATGGTCTATAAATACCCTCCGTCCATCTATCCGTCCAAAAAAACTCACCACGTTAATTCTATTAATAAAATTTACCCCGCGACTAACGGTAGAACTGGTGAACCCACAATTTAATGACGTGTCATTTTTCTACTGGGCCATGTGGCAATCTCTGACGGGAACAAAAATGGATATTATTTTGACCCATTTACCTTATCCGACCCAAGGTTTTGTTATCTGGGTCATAAAATTACATTAAACCCACCTAACTAATCCTATAGCAATACACGGCCGACCTTTTTCAAGGTTTCTCTATTTCTTTTCCCTTTCTTCTCTCTATCTCTTTTCAATCTCGAAGAATCTTTTGGGTCTTTAGTATTATTGAGGTCCATCATAGCTAGAGCTTTAGTTCAGTCAACCAACATCCCATCTTTAGTTGCCGGTGAAAAGACTAGGCAATTTAGTGGGTCTGGGGAAAAAAAAAACTAACTGATCCCATCAAAATTTTGGAATCACCCTTTTATCAGGTGTATTCCTGACTTGATTGTAGATTTCCTTGGTGCACAATTCTTACGAGATAATAGCATTTTAGAACTCCATTTTCTTATTGTCGTGTATTTATGTAGTGGCATCCTTTTTCTTGTCAAGATTATGATCCTTCAGATCGTCATTTCCTAGTGTGGTTCTTGGACCTAGCTCATCTTATTTCATTTATGATTAACAGTGCTTACTGAGGAGGAGCACGGCCATCCTCTTGTTTCCAATTTTGGCAGATTATTGGTAAGACCGAAAACAACTGGGTTGATCTTTTTATTTACCAATGCATCCTCTTTGATCTTAGGGCTGGGAACTGAGGATACTTGTATATGATTTGATGCATTCGCTTCTTTTTTATGACATAGCATTATAATTTGTTTGTTGAGAGCAGTAGCTATGGTGATGGAGTGGCGGAGAGAGAGTTTGGGTGAAATCAAGAAGAAGACCGGGGATATGGGGAAGCCACTAGGTCGGGTCAGCTAAGTGGGTCGAAATAAGATTTATTTTTTATTTTAGTCAGAGATTGCCACGTGACCCAGTAGAAAAATGACACGTCATTAAATTGTAGGCCCACCAGTTCTGCCGTTAGTCGCAGGGATAATTCTATTAATAGAATCAACGTGGTGTGGATTTTTGGACGAATAGATAGACGGAGGGTATTTATAAACCATTTAGCAAACGATAGGGGTAGTTATGGCCCTTTTCCGTAAGAACTATATTATCCACTTAGAAAATGAATAACTAATGGATACCTAATGGGTTTATACATTTATAAAACTTCAAATTAAGAGTTCTTCAAGTCTGAGAGATTAGGAATTCACCCAAAAGTGATCATATTCAAGAAATAATGGATAATATGAATATTTATATAACTCGCCGGTTAGCCCATTTTTTATATGTATTAAATGTGGGGAGTCGGGTAATTTATCTGTTTTTGTATTATTTGCTTTCGGTCCGTTCCATATCCGACTCGACCCGCCCCTTTGCCACTCCTAGTTGTGATTGCTTTTCCTATGCTAAATTTCAGTGGTGTTAAAGTTAAAAGTCTTTGGTTCTCAAATATTTTTAGGTTAAATTGCACTAAACGCCCCCTTAATATGACTCAATTGCAGATACACCCTATGTATTTAAAATCAAACGCTTGTTATTACTTGTTTAATAGTTATCCACATATATTTTTTTCATTGATAAAATCTAACTGATATAAATCAAATATGTACCTTAAAATCGTTTAGTAAAAAAAAAAAAAGACATTCTTTTTGGTACCCAAAAAAAAAAAAAAAAATAAGGCTAAGCGAAGATTGGTGTTTTACATAAGCCCCACTTTTCTGCCTATAAAACCCTTCTATGACAGCACCTAAAGATACACATAAACCCTACTCTACTTTTTAGCCTTCGCTTTGCTGAAGCAGCGGCCGCCGCTCGATAATGGCCCTTACCATTCTGTTATACAGAGAAACCGCGGTCGACTTAACTGAGAAATTTGGCTTTTCTTCTCATTCTCTACCGCGTTTCTCCGTTTAACCAAATGGTTTTAGGGTCAATACTTTGTATTCTTCTGCCTTCTATGTGACGAGA